CGGTGACGTCACGAGCGGAGCCGAAGAGAGCCGAGCGGAGCCGAAGATAGCCGAGCCCCGTAACCGGGTAACTATGCAAGGCGAATCAACAGCGGTGACGTAACCGGACAGCGTGGCTAGCAACAAGGGTGCCTATTACGTGGCCGTATTGTCCGATCGGGGCTACATAGGGAGCAGCGAAGGCTATTCACAGTTGTTGTACTGTAACAGTCGCCGAGTCAAGTTGTACTGAGTCAGTCAGTGAGTCCTGGAGCTACCGCCGAGTTAGCCAGCAACTAGTCAGTGGTATTCTGGCATTTCGAGTGTACTAATTGTGATACTGCAGATAGCAGTAACCGTAAATCTGTAATTTGGGTGATTGTAAGTGCGAATGTGAAATAAAATTCGCTACATCGAATACATCGAGAATTTATTTGTCGCGATATACGCCCGATACGTGACAACATTGTTGGGATGGAGTTCAATCTCAATAGCTTCCTAATGATGTGATACACATATCAGGTCTTGGTGGTGAGGATGGAGGTATTCTGAAGCCGAATGTGGTGTCCCAAATCAATGCTGTGTTGAGCAACAGCTGACTTGTCTGTAGGTCTGAGATGGACATGCTGCTGATGCTCCTTCAATCTCATGTCCACGGAATGGCCCATCTGCCCAATATAGACCTTGCCGCACTTGCATGGGATACTGTATACACCCAGCGTCCTTAGTCCAATGCTATCTTTGAGCGGCCAGAGGAAACTAGATAACTTCTTTCGAGGCAGGCCCACTGATTTGATGTTGTGCCGGGACAACACTCTGCTGATTCGGTTGAATACAGTCCCAATATAGGGCAGGAAGATGACTGAGTCTGGTTTATCATGGGGCCAACTGATGTTCGGATGATGGTTGAGAACTCTGCAGATCTGCCAGCTGTTGTAACCATTGTCATAAAATACAAGACACTAAAGTAAATTTCTTATCAGAAGATCTCACCTGTACATGAACAAGCTCAAAGTTTGTGTATATGGGTTGAATGCCCTCCACAGCCAGACAAACATACAGTGTCATTGTACATAACAGTATCAATGAAGCAAAATGCCTAATTCAAAAAATCACCATTTAACTTTAAATTGCATTGCAAATGAGAGCTGTTTCAGTCCATAAACTGATGGGATTCAACAGTGTGTGTATGAACTAAATGTCACATCAGTTGACATGCAACATAAAGCAAATGCAGGGTTTGCTGTCTCATGATGTGTCCTGGGTGCATCACTTCTGCCTTGAATTATGCTAGCAAATCCTTCATCACCTACGTGTAAAATGACTTGAGCAGCATCATCAACTTAAAAAGTTAGGTTTGCTGGAACATGACCTACATCACCAGATTTTCTGCAGGTGAAGGGATCCACAACAAACAACGACACAGGAGTTTCTGAATCAAATCACAAACAGTGCAGACTGCTGTCCAAGGGTTTCTACTTGCAGCACAATACCATGAGCCAAATGACAGATGTCACAACCACAGGACTGTCCACTGAAAATCTGATACACTCACCTTACCTGCTGAATGTCATATTGAGCACCTATCATCATTTTAGACCCCTTAAGGCATACACAGTGGAATCCACAGTGTAGTGTATGGAACAAGATTTATACATGCCCAACCAAAACAAAATATCTTTCAATGATGTGTGAAAGTGCTGGCAAACCACTGGAAGTTATATATTGAGAATGGTACAATAGGCCAGAAGTGGTCGCAGTACAAGGGAATTAGTCCCACCCCACTAGCAATATATATTGAGAAAAAATGTGACTATATTGAGAAATAAGTTAGAAAGCTAAAAAGTTACCTGCCCTCTAAAGCAATACAGACATTTCACAGCAAAATAATTATCTGTTTTAATTACCACTGTAAAATCCAGGACTTGTAGGCTGTAGGAGGGCTTACAAATTTATCTATCCCTTCCCCAAGAAATATATGGGAACAACGTGGTAAATTTCACTTCTAAGAGGTAGTTCTGTGGTGATGGAAGCTGCGTTTATTATAGGCCCAAGGAAGATTTTTAAATACAAAAAAAAATTCAGTATATAGCCGTATTTAGCTCTGAAATTCACTATGTCGCTAAATGAAAAATAATCTGATTATCTGATCCCTTTGATAAAAGCAATTTTGTGCGCTTAATCTCGTTCAATTTTTTTAATAACACTCTTTTCTTAACAAGATTTATGTTGAATTCGCTCCTAAATTATTATAGTGCTCTAATATGACTCAATGAATATAAAATATTTAGGTTGAAATCCGTCATACCCCATGAACAAAGTGTTCGACGCTACGTAAATTGTGCATTTAAAACATCATCTTAAATAATGACGTTTATTTAACACGAGTCATTGTTGATTAATGGCATTAGCTTTTGGTTATAACCTAAATTATAATACCACCTTTCCCTTTCGCTTCGCATTAACTCCCAGCTTCTTTTTCACTTTCATATCGCACATTCATGCAATTACGAATTATTTAATTACAAAAAAATACAAAGCACATATGACTCCAAATAACAGCCGCCATTCACACCATGCTTCGTATTTCGTTGCACACCATTCACACATGTTTCACAGACGATCACAGATTACTACCTGTGGATACATGATTCAACGTTAATTGAAGACAAGATTAGGAGCACGGACAACCATGATTTAATTTTCAGCGACATCTAACCGTATGGGACACAAACCAAGATCATAAAAGCAATAATTGCTAATGAAGATGTCGAACGGTCGCTCTCGAACCGCTCGAACTTGTCGAACCTCTCGAGCTCTCGAAGGATGATCAACGCTATTTAGTATGGCTTAATAAACTAAAATGTTAATAAGTAAGTGCTAGAGGGTGCAGGATGGACATTGCCTAGGCTCTTTTGTATTTATAATTATTTTTCATAATAAAAAATACAGGTCGATAATCCTTGGAGAGAAGAAAATAAATAACCACTAATCAGCGAATAGTACCTTTGCCAATCTGAGTCATTTGTAGCACATTCAAAATGATGTAATATCGATTTTGTGGTCATCACTCATTCTCCATTTCACCTACATCACAATTTCGTATTATAAAATACACTCTCGAGCCCCTCGAGCCGACCAATGAGATTATACCAAGTGGACGAAGTTACATGACGTGAGAATTTCCACGTTGGAAGTAAGAGGAAGTGTGAAGTGGCCTGTTTAATACGTTTGCAAACATGTATTGAATTTGTGACCGTTGCTTTGAATAGAAGGATATCAGCATTCTGAAACGAACCTGTTCGTATTTATTTTTATCAGCAAAGACAGTTACATATATACTTCACGGTGTTTTATCATCATTGGAATTTTACTCGTGAGATTAGCACTTTTTGCTTTTCCACACATTTATGGGAAATATACAGAGGTATGAGTTCGTACTCTGTTAAAGAAATGTCAGAGTACCATGTGTGATGTGGTACGACAACAGACAGTAATTTCAGTATTACATGTGATTGTGTGGAGGTTGCGGGTCGGCTCTTAGGCTTATGTAACCAACATAGGGTTACCGTTTTAAACCGGTCAGTACCTTTTGCTGAAGAAACGGGACAGTGTCAATGTCGACCGACCTAAGTATGATGGATTTTCTCTTTGAGAGAGAAGATCCTGTTCTCAACCTGACAGATAAAGATTTAATATATAAAAGTGATCAGAAAGACGTTGAAGGAATTGGTGTAAGTTACAGTTCCTGTAGAGAAGTTTAATTGCGTTTGTCAGTGTTGTGAAACAGAATTAAGACAATTATTTTTTGTTTTGTAGGTAGAAACCTGGTCATCAAATCCAGATGACTTCTTGGAGTCAATTCTAAAATTCGATGACCAACCTTTTGAAATATTGGACGATGGTGTGCTTCTGTCTCCTGCAAGTATAATGGAAACAGAAGATGTAACTGCACCAGCAAGTAGTTATGACAGTGGTGTTTCAAGTGACCAGCAGTTGTCACCCATGTTTCCTGAGGTTGAAGAAGAAAATATAGATCTTCTGTCTTCTTTGTCTAGTGGCAGTGAAAGTAATCCACTGGAGGCTTCATATGTATGTGGTGACCAGGAGAGCTCAGTACAAGAAGATATTGAGGTCGACTCTTCTGTTTTTGATATTCTGAACACAGATGGTCTTGGTGAGGTCAGAGTGGAAGACAACCAAGCCATCATTAGCATGAGTATGCTTATAATATTTCTCTCAAAGGACTAGTCATTAAGTGGTAACAGTTATTAATAATTTGTTCATGTAATATATGAATCTTTTGCAGATGTGTTGCCTCCAATGCAGCAAGCTGTCCAAAACCGCCATCTCATAACCAGCAGTCCTTTGAGGCAGTTAATTCGCATCACACCAGTGTCTGGCAATCCCCGGTCTATTCTTTTGCCAGTAAGACTCAAGGAAGTGAAGGATATCAAAACTATTAAAATCATTAATGCATCTAGCCAAAATGTTACAAGAAAACAGCAGTCTCTAAGAGGAATGCGTGTTACAACTGGTAGCAGAGCAACTCTGCAAACCAAACCAGTTCTTGTCAAGAGTAATGCTTCGCAAGATGATCTTAGCAGCATCGAAAGTATGTCAGAAGAAATGGGTGATGATTCAAATTCACACTATCCAAGACTTCAGTTAACATGTAAGAATGATCAGCATAAGTGTTATGGTTAAAGAGCTTTTGAATAAGTTGAGGAAGATTCATAGTAATATAAAGTATATGAAGTTCGGTCTTACAAAGGACCCATGCATTTTTGTGGATTTTAAATCAATCTCGTATGGTGTATGTGTTACACCTGTCATAGCAAATCTTTCGATGAGTTTTGACCTGAAAATTCATATGAATCAATCTTGAATTTGTGATTGCAAGTGACTTAAGAAAGAGAGTTTATTGCTGTCATGATATAAATTCCATTATGTAAATCAGAATATTTCATTCATCAGTTGGTAGTGAACCTTTAGTGTTAATGTCACTGAGCTCTTTTATTATGAACATACTGGAAACTTGGCCATGCCATAGCTCAAGTGGGATTGTGGTGGACAAAGTGGCACGGGTACATTTTCTTTGAGTACTTCAGTTTACCCAGCCAATCTTCATTCCACCAAATTCTCCATTATCACAATCACCCAGGGCAGGTACAATAGGCAAATCAGTGGTCGCCGTTCCGAGTGGACCCACCTGGAATTCACCCCCCACTGTGCGAATTTAATTTTTTTAATTTTACTGGAAACTTTTGAATTTCTGTATTATTGAATAATATTTGTCTTAGAATATGAAGTATGTAGCAGTTTGTTCCAAGTAACTTTCTTCAAGAGTAATCTTTATCCCTGTGTGAACTTTGTGAGTTTAAAGTACACATGAGGTTCCAGAAAGCAGTGGGCAGTAAAAAGTATATTTTACTTAACAAAATTAAATAATTTTTGTGTGTCTAATGTACAGAAACTGATACTTAAAGTATTCCTTTGCAGCTGAAGAGAAGCGACTTCTTCAGAAAGAGGGTGTCAGACTGCCTTCTCATTATCCTCTTACAAAGGATGAAGAGCGTGAGCTTAAACGGATTAGAAGAAAAATCCGAAATAAGATCTCAGCACAGGATTCACGCAAGAGAAAAAAAGAATACATAGATGGATTGGAAGAGAGGTAAAAATCTCATATTATATTACCAAGGATGTAAACATGTATGTATGTAAGGGGTGGGCCATAAAAACTGGCCCCCGCACTGCGACCTTCAATGATCTACTGTGCTTCCCCTTGGATGCAAACATTCTTCAGTACGTATTTTATCAGCATCTTTTTTTTTTTAGAGAATTTCCCTTAGGCAGAGAAATTTAGTTGTGCTTAAATACATGAAATAAAAAAATGTATGATGTTATCACTGTGCTGAAACTAGCACACACACACATAAAGATGTTGAGGTGATAGTAATTATGATAGACTACAATTGAAACATTTATAAATCTTCTAACCCCAAGTTAATGTAGGTAATTATATATTACTGCTCTGTCCATCAGCTTGTTGTGGCCAGTTTGTACTGTGCTTTTGACTGTATAATTTTGGTGTCCGTTGTGGTTACTATCTTCAGGATGAATGAGGAATTGGGCTGATATGTAGGGCTTACAGTAGAAGTAAAGGTGGCCATGGTGTTTTCCAATGGGAGTGAACCTTGCAGCCAGACTGCAGGGGTGTATCCATCTTGGTTAAAGTTGTATTGATGTTTGTTTTATGGGTTCCATGATTATGTAAAAGTAGAAAAAGTAAAGCTATCCCTGTCGGGGCACACGGTAACATAGTTAGTTGAGGCGCTATGCTACAAGCTGGAAGGTTGCAGGTTCAAGTCCTAATGAGGTCATTGGATTTTTTTTCAGTTTACCTAATCCCTCCAGCCACACTATGGCCCTAGGGTCGACTCAGCCTCTAACAGAAATGAGTACCAGGAAGTAATTAAATAATTTTCCTGGGGAGTAAAGCGCGGCCGGTGCTTAAGGCTGACAACCTTACCGCCATCTATGAGCCGATTGTCTAGATCATGTGGGACCCTCAACATCTCACAACCCTATGGGCCTCACAGCCTGTTACAGGGATAGCTTTACTTTTTTTTTTATCCCTGTAACAGGCCCTGAAGGCCCATAGGGTTGTGAGATGTTGAGGGTCCCACATTATCTAGACAATCGGCTCAGAGATGGTGGTAAGTAATTTCTGTTACAAGCTGAGTCGAACCCAGGGCCATAGTCCGGCTGGAAGGATTAGGTCAATTGAAAAAAATTCCAATGACCTCATTGGGATTTGAACCTGCGACCTCCCAGCTTGTAGCATAGTGTCTCAACCAACTATGCTACTGCATGCCCCTCCATGATTATGTAGGGCTGGTAAATGTTAGTGCAGAAGTGCGGCTTCTGTACTGTGCATTCCTTAGTCTCACTTGGTTGTTTGGCTCTTGTTAAGCGTTTGTAAACACAGCATAGAATTATACAGAATTGAAGTCCTGGCATCATCAGGGAGTCTGTCAAAATGTGAAATGACATCATAACTTCATGTATATCAAATGATGCAACCTTAACAGTTCAGTTGCACCTGTTCTGGTCCAGCCCCTTCTCATTGGATGTCCTGTCCTATTTACCCTGAAGTTGGTGACTGCAGTATACATTGGGACGTGCTCAACAAACAACATGGCTAAACCATGAAATCAGCAGCTTACATATCAGATACAAGCTATAAAAAGGGAAGAACGGAGGTCTGTTGAATAAGCAGTTAAGTAGTAATAAGTGACACAGACAATATAAAGTTGCACAACAGATGAATGATGCAACATGGCTAAATATTTACATCTTTTAAGGCATGACTGTACAGCACATAGGTGGCTGGTAGACTTTGTATAGGTAAACATTTTACTATTTCTTCTCCATTGTGCCAAAATAAGCAGATTATATAGCCCATTTGCGTTTTAAATTTACTTTATAATGCATCATAAGGGTTTTAGAAATGTGCTTACCCTCCTTCCACAGGCAAGTTAATTTTAAGTAGCTGATGGCTCTCAGCTTTATTTCTGGACATAAATTCTGTGTATTTATTTCTTTTCAAACCATTTCTGTTTTGCAGACTATTCTGTATTTGATATGTCAATGAAAATAAAAGAAGTTGTATACTCACATTACTTATGGGATATGACGCCATGTAGACAGTTACCACTTTGGAGGAATCTGCTGCCTCCATATTCAGGGTAATTATCTGTGAGGCTGTACGGAATTACATCCCAGAATACTGTAGTTTTTGTGCTCATTGCTGTGAAAAATGTTACATATTTGTAATGTTCATGTATAGCAAGACAGGTGGATACTTGTATGGAAATTGTGTTGAATATCAGTGGCATAAACTTTTTTTTAACTAGTTTACTTTCCTGGCTTCATAACTTGTACTCTTCTCCAAGTATAATTAGAATCATGGGGGAGAGGAGAAATCCATATAGGATATTTGTGGGAAAGCCAGAAGGAAGGAGACTAGTGGGAAGACCAAGACAGATGGGTGGAAATATTAAAACGGACCTTAAGAGATATATTGTGGGATGGTATGGATTGGATTGATCTGGCTCAGGGCTCTTGTGAACATGGTAATGAACTTTGGGTTCCATAAAATGCTGGAAAGTTCTTGTATGGCTGCACAATTGGCAGCTTCTGAAGAAGGGCAGAATCAATGAGTGGGTGAGTTCACTTTCCTGTTGCATAGTGACAAAAAAAATATATTGATAGTCAGGTGCATTTGAAATATACTGAAGAACTATGATTTCTTACAGTTGCAATTTTAAGTTTAATTCATGATTTCTATAAGTTTATGTATGTCTTACAGGCAGAAGCACCTTCTCACTTAATCAGTATGGGAGACAAGGTGATGAAACTTGTATGGTAAATTCTCTTGGGTATTGTTGCTTTCCATTTCTGCAACTTTTACCAAATATATTTGTGTTATTGTAGGGTAAAGCATTGCACTGAGGAGAATCTGCACCTAGTAAAACGTGTGAAAGCTCTGCAGACAGAAAACCAAACACTAGCAGCACAGGTGAAAAAACTCCAGGCTGTGTTGTCCCATGGAGCAGCAAACACAGCACAACCTGCTACTTGCCTTATGGTGCTTCTCCTTTCCATGGCCTTCATTATAGCACCCAATTTACGGCTGAATCAGAGCTCATCCTCCAACTATGATGGCCAGAAGGATCAAGACCTCTCACAGCCAGAAAACAAAATGGCACCTCTTGCAGGTTAGACATGCAGAAAAATATTCTTAATTGAGTGAGCTTGACTGATTTATGTGCATGGACTCGTGTAGGCCACATTAATTTAACTGTTAACCCAGTGATGTAACAGTTATCATGTGGAAAATATTGTGTATTATTTATATAAAGGACTGACTGCTTGTCTGAATGTAATATGACACTGAAAAATTAAAAGGATCCTGTTTCTGTCAACAGTAAAATCTTATTTAAAATGTAAAGCCCTAGGGGGAGGGCCACCCCTTTCTTCTACCATTTTCACTTCCTAGAACAGGCATATAGATTTATGGAAGAAAAACAGTGAACTGGCTTCACTGTGTTGAAAATAGAATTTAGTAAATTTCTGATGATACAACAGTCTGCATCACTATTTGATGATGGACAACCCTCTGAAGTGTTGTCAAGGAGTGGTCTTCCAGTGTGGGGAATAATCCTTCACTGACTATGTTATGAAATGTTGCAAAAAGATTTTTTCAGTGGCAATGGAAGAAGTTAAATGGGGTATGAGAGAGTGGATTAAGACAGGTTCCATCTCATGGCACATTAGGAATTCCTTGACCAGGTGAATGTGCTTCTTGGAGTTCCATGACAAAACATATTTATGGTTTATTAATTTTTTCAGTAGTGCAGATATTATGGTGCTGACCAGAGTGATGATAAACACAAGCTGTAGCAAAGTAAAGCTTATGAATTAATCGCAGCTTTATCAGGGTGACTTTTAGAACATGTCATTTTTTTGTTCATAGGTCGGTCAAGAAACTTGCTGGAATTCCCTGAGTCTAGGGTCTCTGAAGATGGGACTTTCAGCAGTTCTGATCAGGATGATGCAGCCAAGTTCATATCTGATATGGCTCAACTTCTGCAGTTCAGTAATCCGCTGGTGGTTGACCATGATTATGAGCCACCAATCAAGCGTTCTCATATAAAAGAAAAACCAGAGGATATCACGTCATCACTGCTGTATGCAGATAAAAACTACATTGTACCACCACCAGATGAAATCTGGCCACCTCCAGCACCTGAAGATGGTCATATCAGGAACATGCTTGAGAAGGAACTGGGAGAGCAGATGACGGTTAATATTTCAGATTCTGGTGGAACAAGAACAGTGGTGCTTCAGGTACCTAAAGAACAGTAGATATGTGTGTCCAAAGCAACGCATCTTATTTCAGTGAGGAAACTGATACCAACTTAATGTTTTCTTGTTGAATTTTGGTGATTGTAGTTGTTGCAGTAAAGTTATCATCTCCCTGATGTTCATGTGTACATATTTATAGTATATCCATGGTTTTAAAATTTTCTTGTGTAAGTGCACCACTATATACATGTTTCATACTGTTAAATTTGTGATTTTCTTCGAGCTTAATAATAAAGGCTTTTCCTGCAGTTCTTTCTGTATTCTTGTTTTATAAATAGTGAGCTTTGCATGATATATCTTAAGTCTGGAACTGACATCCAATGAATTCATCACAATTATCTGTATTAACATTTTAGTGTTTATTTTTTTTTTCATTTTGGAAACAGAATAGTTTACATGTATATTCCTATGGGCTTTCTCACTATAAAAGCAATTCTCACAATGCACACACAAGGGGGAAGAATTGATGACAGTCAATATGGCAACTGGCAACACTGGGCTTGGGAAAAAGAAATAATCATGTATCTAATTAAAGCATGACTAAAATATTGGACCCCTCTTTCTTCACCAGTGATCTAGGTCTGATTGTGGAACTGAAAAACGTTTATATTGCCACAGAAGTTAACACTAAGTATGAACACAATTTGCTCATTAAATATGTAGATTATAATTGTTTTTTAAATAATAAATTTCACACACTTCTGGTGCCATCCACAATACTTAAAAAAAAATTGACTCCATTCTGTCTTGGCTCAGGTTGATTACTAAGACAAGACAGTGAATGGACTAATTAAACATCACATTTGACTTCATCACTAAACCTTTACAGTGTATTTTGCAAATCACCGTGAAGTCATATTAATGCTTTTTAACACATCAATGAACTTCCATCATGATTAACAATAAAAAATCATCCTGTCTTGGATAGAGAGACCATATTAACAAAATTGGCTGGGCATTACTTTGGCTCTTAAAAGTGTAGTAGCATTCCTTATATTTTATTTCACTTAAGCTGTCTGAAGGTATTTTTATTAACAAATAATACATTAAGATTTTTTCTCCCTTTGGCAACTGCAACAAGTTACATACTCAAGTCTAAAAATGAAGCAGTGTATGAACTGTTGCAGACTTTGAAGATGCACTAAGTAAATTCATCACCTTGGCTGCCACAATTCTTGGAATATAAAGCCCACTGCATTCATAGGGATGACCATATACAAAGTTGGAAGCTAGTTCAACCCCACTAGAACAACTGTTATGTATCTTTTTTATCACAGTGATTTTTGTCCATTCACACAGAAAAACTACCATAAATATAGTTTCATTTCTGGTCACATGTAACCAGATGTTATATAAAACACGTACAGAAGATAAAATTTGGGAAAGTTTACAAACCAATATCCTGATCATGTGACAGGAGTACACTGCACACCTCCCCCCATGAAATGTGAAATGGTATTCAACAATTACGAGCTCCTGTTTGTATTTCTTAAGCAAATCCAAGCAGTTTTTGATTTCCTAGTATCTCATTTTTACAGAACATTATGCTGGCTGACTGCAGTAACAAATCTCTTCTCTTAAAAACCTTGTTACCAATATATGTCCCTTTGAAATTAGTGCCATTAAGCTCACACACACATTCACAGATTTCAAATTCCAGGGCAAACATCTGAAGTTGTATCAGCTTATCAATAGTTTCATAAACATTTCACATTACCTTCCTCTGCCTGATGGTGCTGCAGCATGCTAAAAATGGAACAATATGACATCTTTTGACAGCACAGTTACTATGAACACAGTGCTAACCACAAAAAAAAAAAGTACTTTTACTTTAAAAATCTACTTTGCAGCTCAAAATTTGTGGATTATTAACAATGTGGAGAAAGCCATGGATAATACAATCATCTACATCACTGTGGCTTCACAAGATGTGTTAGATGTACATGAAATCACAGAGTACTATCTTCTGGGGCATGGGGGTGTGTCTGTAGTGTAGTCTGGTAGAAGTTTTATCAACATTTCTGAGAAACAGACAGTACCCACCTTCAGGGTTGAAAGTAAGCTAAACAAGCTGCAAGGAGTGCACAACTATGCTTCTTGCTTGGCTTACTCTCTGACCCTGAAGATGCAGGCAGTAAGTTCCTCCAAAATATCAGCTAACTTCTACCAGACTATGCAGCATCACAGTTGCTGCTGTGTGAACCTCAAATCTAACATACATGAAACCAGTTTGTAATTGGAGGGGGAAACATATGCTACAAATTATGGCTCAAGTAACTGTTACAAGAAAATAACAGTACCCTTACAGTAATATCCTTAACATGACTAAAATAGGTCACTCACAGTACCTCCACAATTATCATGTCAGGAGTTGTTGCAAAACATTTTACCATACACAACAGAGAGGAATGCTCACAAAGTCCATAAAACTTCTCCCTGGAATGTGTAAACACATGTTACTGTAAATGTATTCCTCTGAAATTATATCTGATAACAGTTCATCAATAATACTATAATGGGGCAAAAGAGTAGTCATCACTTAATAGCTGTTTATCTACTGTTCATATTGAAGAATATCATGTCTTTACTTACAGATCTGTAGATGAAAGGAGGATATTATGTTACTTTTCTAAATCAAACAGCAATTCCTGCATGGAAGTACAATCAGAAAATACTGCATCCTAATGCTGTTCGAGTATGCCACTACACAGAGGCAACTGGTCACAGTGAATAGATTTTGATAAATATTCATAATGAGAGTCCTTACTAAAATTTGAAGAAATGTAATTTTGTTTCATGAGATAGCTCAGTCAGTATAGCAACATGCTACAGGCCAGATGGTCAAGGTTCAATTCCTGGCAGAGAATATTTCTCTCCTCTGTAGCAATCCAGACCAACTCTGAGGCCCACCTAACCTCCTATCCAATGGGTACCAGGGGTTACGCAGTCAGGGCATGAAGCTGACCACTCACCTTCATCCAGTGTCAAGGTCAAGAATGGTGGAGCTATACCTCCACTGCCTCATATGTCTTCATGGCATAATGCTTAATTGAGCATGGGGACAATTTTACCTTCATTAGACATTCTTGGACTTTTCATGATATTTCAACTTTGGATGTAATTAAAACCAAATGAAATTATACATCTGGAAGAGAAAAATTAATCTGTAGGAATATATTACATTATGTTTACTGGAGTGAACCAAATATGTAAAATTTCATGGGACACATATTTTACATAATACCCCATTCTATTCATATGGCTATCAATATCTAGGCTGGAACTACTAGTTATCATGGGTAACATCTGATTTGAACCTGAAGTGAACAGAATTTTAAACTGTTACAGAAGAACGAAAGTCTGATAATAGGACTTTTTGTGAACTTCATTAATATTCTTCAATGTCTGAAGTCTGTAGGGTACAGTATGATCTCTTTTAGAATTTTACTATGCTGTAAAATATCATGTATGTGTAAATTTTCAATTACTGAGACTAAATCAAAACTCAATCTTCTGATAATTGCTCTGGCTTTTTACAGTACCATGCAAACTACCCTAACCCATGAGAACTGTAATAACTGGCATCGCAGCACATATCAGCTTCTAAACAAAACCACCTCTCCCTCAGCATCTTTCTCTATTCCTGTTAGCAGTGCTGGTGTCTGATATCAAAAAGGGTAGTAATACACTTAAACTTCAATGCATTCCCCCCCAAAAAGACAAAGAGCCAGTATTATAAACTGATTACAATAAAAAGAAGTTCTAGTGCAGAGTATTCTTGTTCTTATCTCAGTTACTTTTCTCTTCACTTTATCATCTCAAACATGACGTTCCTGCACATGCCTATAAAATACATACGAAGCATGTACAAAGCATACATGAGCGCTGCTTCATAACTGATAACCCAAATCCACCAGATGTTTGGTGCAAGGTTATGTACAATGTATGATCAGAGCAACAAACTTTGTAACAGAAGTGTCTCAGATATTCATCCAATTCAAATTTCATATCTGCAAGATAAATTATTATTTTAAATTTTTGTGCTGGAAATACTTAGATCAGAAGACGAAGGAAAATGCCAAATTTTCCAAAAGTGGTCTGAATTCTGCTAAGCCATTCTGTTTAATTATGAAGGAGAAGATTTAGAGATAAATGGCTGGTAATAAAATGCAAGAAATCAGCAAGAATGAAACACGAGAATAAAATATTATAATACACATATGAAATTAAAATAATCAGAATTTCTGGAACATGAAGAGACTAGTGAGGTTCGAGGTTCTTGTGGCAGTGACTATGAAGGGTATAATCTTCTGGATGATACTGTGCAGTCTGGCATAAGTTTAACAATGTTTCAAAGCAACACTGGTACACTTCTACCAGACTACATGGTGTCGCATCCAAGAAAATAGTACTTTACACTGACACTCCAAAAATATGCATAAATTATATAAAATTAAGAGAAGAGCATATTTTGATTAAAACAGCATAATATTATACACATAAGTAAAAACTGGATTTATTCTTATGATGTCCTTTGCTGGAAGCAAGGGACACAATATGTTTAGATGATAATATAATAAATTACATACGGAGATCGTGTCTTTCACACTTCCCAGGTTCATTAGTGCATGCTGTTAAATTATACAATATTGTAACTATTTTTAGATGATATAAATTTAATTTAGTGCTATGAAGAGGTCAGGTTAATATAAAGTATCTACCATACTTCATACTGATTATGTCTAACAGTAATTCAGACCACTTTTGTATGCAAGCTTGGAGCTAGAAGTTGGAATGAAAGTAAATGAAAACACTATATTCCACTGATATCTGAAAATCTATGAACTACATATTTTAAAATCATGCTTTTATGTTAATCTGGAACAGTAGGACATTATACAAATAGCAGAATTCCTACTGCAGTCAAATATTTAAATGGTCACTAACATAAACACAATATACAGAAATAACGTATTGGTAACAGTGAGCACTTTCTTTTCAGTCAGCTGGAAGTCAAGAGTATTACCAGATTCACTCACTGTAAATATATACATATATATTTGCTCTTTTCAGCCCCTACACACATTATGTAAATGAATAATAATTCATAGGATGCCATTACTATTTTGTGAATATGTATTTGAAGATTAATGACTTCTAGGGGGAAATATTTAGTCATATCAAGTTTCTTAATAGCCATATGAGAGCAGGCACATCTTGGAAACTCATTTAATGGTTTTGAACTGTTGGTCTGAAGGAAATATTTAATGGCCTGTACAATTCTAAGTATAGTTCATGAAACCAACAGTTCATTTGCAACAACTCCATATAAAGTGGAAATGTGGAAGGTTTCTGTTGAAACTAACCAGTCACTGGTGACCACATAGAACAGCCATCAAATACAGTCAAGTTTCATACCACAAAAAATATGGGTCCATGAAAGAAACACTGAAGTAAATTCTGCAAACATGTTAACTCATAATCTGAGTTTATGAAGTTTACAAAATTCACAATACAGATTTCTGCTCTGTTCATGTATCAAAGTGCATGGTCAAAGCAACATACAAAATAGAAGTGAATGTTCTACAATCCTAATAATTTCCAAAGTACAGCATTTTGTAACTTGACAATGTGAAGAAGGTCCTCACATCCTCTTAGCTCCTAACTTACATTATCACTGTGAGTTGTCTTAATCATGACTTTGAGTTTTACAGAGAGGTTCGAAAAGTTGAAAATTATTTGCTAACAGCAGCACAATCTAAGTGAGCAGCTGAACTGCAATGGAGCATATAAGAGCCATAGCTTTGTAGGTCTTTAGTATATTACCAAGTAAAAGTATTAGAGCCACCAATCTCGTGTTCTGGAAAGTGGCATGCAGAAAACAGTGTTATATAATGTAAGCCACATGTCATGTAAATAAACTGCTCAGCCTTTCTCAATAAGCTGGGTGGGGGTGGGGGGGGCAGCTGAGTATAAGATAACAATTACAGTTACAGGCTATACTTTCTGGCCACTTTTTTCTTTTTTGTTTTTTGCAGTCTCAATGCTAGCATCTGAGTTGGCTTTATTTGGATGGAATAAGAATGGAGAAAAAAAATCACAACCCATTCCATCAAGAAGCAATGGGAGAGCTGATCAGTCTGACTGGTTTGGATAATATTTTGCCTTGATTTCTTGCATACCACAGATCAATTCATTTAAAAAAATAATAAAACAACAAAGCATGGTACTTGAGAACATTACGTGGCATCTCACTCTGCACATAAAATACTGATGATGGTAAGAGGGGGTGGATCTATGATACACCAAATGGCCGCCACCTCATGCCCACTGTTTTGCAACAGCATTTCCCCACAAACAATAACACATGAACATGAGCTTCTCCTCGAGACAGGTCCAGTCTCCTGCTGCACAGAACTCTACTTCTGCACTTCATTCCAACACTTTTAACTGCTTCATGACATATTCCCCCCCCTATCTCTGAAGCCATATGCAGCAATATCTCCCAAATCAAATATGAATGATCCAACCAGAGTTGATTAAACAGGACTTCAGTCATTTCAGTTCTATCCATCAAATATCCATTCTATCATTAATTCAATCATACAATTAGCCGTACAATCAAATCACTCTATTAGTTACAGTCAGATGAGTCAGTCAACTGACTTATATGACATTTGACAATGTTCACTGGATTTAAGCAAGCAAATCATTGTATGAATTCACCAAAGGACCATTTATTCACACTCTTGGCTACATTACAATGCAACTCCATACACTCAGCCATCCTCAACTTTCTCCTTTTACACCACAAATATACTGAATACATACATGCATACAACACACCATACCACCACAGCACACAAGACTTAGTTATTATGTATAATATAATTAATAATTATAATATGTAGTAGTGCATCAGGTGAGGGGGGAGACTTGGCATGATGGCGGCAGCTACGTGGGTGCTCCCCTGACTCATCATGTGACGCTGGCGGGCGTAGGGTAACGAGCAAACTCGCTGTTACTAGGATTGTTCAGGACACTGTCTCTGGAATTGGAGTGGGACGTAGCCCGCAGCAACGTCACCGCCTCGCGTTCCGGGCTGCACTGCACAACCGCTAGTCATTTCTGACGTCCTGATTTCTTCTTCTTACGTTTGAAGAAGCAACAACATCTGCAGAGGAATATTATAGATACACATCACTGTTAGGAAGACTGTGTTCTCAGTCATCTGTCAACTACAGAAAATCAGATTATCAAAAAAGAATGCTCGTATTTTATATGGATATGCTAAATTCATCCAACTATAAATAATGGATTTTAATTTTTATTTTGATTAAGAAGCAGGGGGCCATCTGATATCTGCAACTGATCAAAATGCACAAACGTCATTTACTGTTTCTCTTGTAAAAAATATGACTTCTCAAAACTATGGCAAATATTGGAACTCATATATTCAAGAACTCTGTATCAATATGATAGCAGTAGTTGTTCTAACTGCCTTACCCTGATACAATTTATGCAGATTTCTTCATTCCTGTGAAATGCATATAAAGCAAACTCATACATAGTTACCAAGTACACCCATCAGACTAATAACCACAGAGCATTCAGGAAATACCATATTTCTGGGGTCAATAAGGGGATGTGGAAGAAAGGTAAAGATCTGTTTACTACCAGGTGTATGTTCCACCAGGAAATAATTTTGTTGATCTAAAACAGACCATACGAAGAGCTAATGAGATAACTGTACATAAATATTATCTGGACAGGTAATAAAATAATTTTTCATGCAAATTTCCCACTGGAAAGGGGGGGGGGTCCTTATAGCCAGGTAAATTCAGTATCCAATAAATAAACATACCATGAAAATGATTTTCTTAACTGTCAAAAAACTCCTGACATTTATAAATAATTTTCAATAAACCTTCAACGTAGGCACTATCGGTCACTCATAGAACATCTTGATGATACTCATTTTTAGTCCCATGTGGCTTTGTGCATTTGGAAAACTATTCCAATGGCTGCAGCTGCTTTAGAGAATGCGCTCCAATCTTGTGCTTTAACTGAACAGGCAATCTCAACCACAAACAAAACAACAAAATTTAATAGGTGAGATCAAGACATCTAGGAAAAACCATAATTGGGCCATTTCTTCTAATTTAGTGATTTAAAAATTTGACAATTTGGTGATACACACAGCCTATACTAAAGTCCTTGGAAAATGAACTCTCAAACTTAAAGAGTTTTACTTACAGACATAAGGGCATTAATCTTTAGTAGCCTGATATTTCTCTAACAACTACATACAATGCAGGTGTATGAAAATCTACGACTTACTTTGTTTCATCTACTATTTCAACCTCTGCTTGGGCTGTGATGGGAGTGTTGGAATGCCCTGCCGTTGGATCATCATTTCCTAATTCACCATTAGTTGAGCTCACGACCTAAAAACCAAAAAAACATCACAGAATAAAATATGATCCATATACCAACACTGCTATCACTAATTCAAGAACATGAACACTAACCTACACAGAAACTGAGTGAAATACTTATGTGCAAACTGGCGAGATTTAGATTTATGTATCATGTTGTGCAGTCTTACTGAGAAACACAAAGAATACAATCACATATAAATATAAGAAAACAAACAAACAAACTCCATGATTTTAGTCTGCAAGCAAACTATACCGACTGAGCGACCACCGCTTGTCAGTGAAGTTTAGTGCCAACTTTTGTGGATAGGGAGTGTCACGTGGTAAGCGCAACGAATCCCTATGGCCGTTAATTTCGGTTTTCTAGACCGGAGCCGCTATTTCCTTGAAACAGCTCCTCAGTTATCCTCACGAGGCTGAGTGGACCCTGTTCCAGACCCACTACTTCTAAGAAAAAAATCTGGTAGCGCTGGGAATCGACCTCTGGATCTGTAGCCAGGAACTCTGACCACTAGACCACAAGGCATATAACAGTTTGTCTTATTATTTTATGATTGGTACATGTTTTAAAATAAGCATTTAAAATAATTTTAAACTATTTTAACATTAAACAACAGTTTCCAGAATGCAATGTTGATAATATACGTTACAGTACTATCAGAAATGTTTTAATTATTTTGTATAAAAAAATAAAATTTTGTCTTTAACACTACACTACAGTGCACTACATTTATCATTCTGAAATGCTACTCCAAAACTACTACCTCAAGTGAATAAATTATGAGTATAAAACGCAACAAAGCTTTCAGGACACAAGTTAACAATTTGAAACCAACAACCAACCAGGTTTTGTGAACAAGTTACAGAAATCCAATTTCTGCATAGTAAGAAAAAAGACAATAGATTCTGTCACGTTACTGTACATTTTACACAGACTGCTTGTTGCAAAGAAAAAGACATAGTATGTTATTTTCCACAAGCTGACCAAAGTCTTCAAAATAACAATGCATCTTTAATGCTAGCATAAAGTATTTCAATATGTTATTCTTGGGCTTTAGATCTCCATGTTATACTTAAATCTATGTTGAACCCATTTCAGAGGGAGGTGGGGGGGGAATTCTGGCATTAAAGATACAAACATAAAAACCTGTTTGCATGTTACAGTCAGGGCTGTATGAAGTCACATACTACTATGTAATATGTTGTGACATTTGGAAAGCGCAAAGCCAAGTGTCAAAAGAACTGAACTTATTGTATCTGCTAGGACCTCCCCCCCCAGACATGCATTACAGAGAATGCTGACACGCAGCCAGAAGGCTATTATTAAAATACACTAAAATCAGCTGTGACAATAGCAAAATGCTTTCCACTTCAAAAAATGCTAATTTGGAAAGCACCCAGCCACTCATTCCATTTGTCTATTCTCATCAACTAGACAAATCTGAAAAACTGGAAGCACTGGATACTGCCAAAATTATATTTTGAATACTAACAAATGTTCAACATTACAACATGTTTATGAACAACTCTGCCTGGCTGCTGATGCAAACTGACAGTAATGTGTTATCTGATATCTGACAATCCATATTAAAACAGTGTAACTGTGATGCCTTCATCCCTGGCCATGAAACTAAACACATGGCACCAGAAACAGGATTTTATGAAATGAAACAGGTAAACCTAAGAAAATTGGAATGTTAAAAAATTCATGTCATAAGAGGTGCACCAAAATCCACTAACACAAAAGTATTCAGCCCTCTGTGACAGTTACAATGAACATAAAGAACTGATGGATGAAGGTTACATTTTAATATGCTGATCACACATAGAGAAATATTGCATATATTATCACTATGCTGTGCCTAAAACATTTCTGAGGGTGCATCCATCTAGAAATACTAACATAGTTCATTGTGCCTGTCATTAGAAATTTACATTCTATTTTCAATACACGAAGGGAACCAAACATTCCATGCCAGACATCTCAGTGAATATGCAGGATTTTCTTTCATAGGGTTGTATATTCAAGGCACAACATACTCTCAAAAATATTAAACATTTTATGATTAGTTCAAGATATATTTAGTCTGTACAGTTAAGAGAGTAATCAGTCAAAACCATCTGCACGCTTTTTAGAAGGGCATACAGTTGTCATCAGGAAAGAGCAAACCATTTTTCTGTTCACCACCTTATTACTTGTACACATAAACAAAAAAATGTTTGCAGATTGGATTTCAACTATGACATGAACACCAGTAACTTGTTGAAGTGAATTATGAAGTGTTTCTTCTAATTTATTTATTTCTGTTAGGCACTTAATTCACCAATTCTGTTCAACTTGTACAGCGAATGCCTTACCAAGGAAGCTCTGGATGGGCTTGGAGACTTCAAATTAGGAGGGAAAATTATTCAAACTGTGAAATATGCAGATGACCTTGTGTTAATGGCTAAGGAAGAAACTGTGCTACAGGGCATGATTGATAGACTAATTGAAATTGGAAGGTGCTATGGCATGGAAATGAATGTGGAGAAAACAAAAGTAATGAAAATTTCGAGACAACCAACCCCAGTCACAATAAAGATAGACCAAAAACAACTGGAGAATGTGAAATGTTTTAAATATTTGGGTAGCTTGTTAACAGATGATGGAAGGTGTACTAGTGAAATTAAATCCAGGANGATTGGTCATGTTTTACGCAGAAACTGCCTTCTAAAAGAAGTTACTGAAGGAAAGATAGAGGGGCGGACAGAAGTGACAAGAAGACGAGGAAGAAGATGTAAGAAGATGCTGGATGACCTTGGGAACAGAAGAGGATACTATCATTTGAAGGAGAAAGCTCTAGATCGCATTAAGTGGAGGAACTGTTTTGGAAGAGACTGTGAACCTGTCGTCTGACAGATTACTGATGATGATGATGTCATAGATGGTGAAGGGTCCCCCATAGACAGCATCGAACTTCGCTTTTATTTCTTCGCATATTTTTCCATCCAAAAATAAAAAGCGAATTACGGATCGATATTGCACTTTTTCCATTGTATCGAGAAAGACAAAACATGTCTGATGCAATTGGCTGCCAAATAAAAACTAACCTATGAATCAGTCTGAAATTTAGTATGGTGTCGTTTGACAGATGCCAGTACACGACGGTAATGCCAATTTCCCTCAGCAACGCCACCTGTCTTCAAACACGGGTACTTGTTGATCGACCCTCGTACTTCCAAAAATACATGATACCATAATGCAAATTCTCATGGCCTTTAAAATGTCAAATCTCATACACAAAAATAATTATTTAAAAACATACCTATCCTTACTGACAGACATATTAGTTATTCCCTCTATCATTTCTGTATTTCTTACAAATATTGTAGTAGCTACCCATTAAGAGTCAGATCATCAAAACTGAATAGCTGACTCACCTGAACCGATCCATGTCGGTCAGCAGGTGTAAGGTTGCCCAGCTGGTTCCCCTGCTGTTTTGGGATGTCTGGCCACGCAGGTACTCCTTTCCCAGCTCCCTGCATGCACAGCATAAGCCAATCACGTCACACACGAGCGTACACACACACACACATACAGGAGAGGCAAGCATTCAATTTTAATACTGTCATAATTAGTTCAAAATTTATATTACTACTGTATACCATATTGATTAGTTTAAATGCATGCAAAGTTCTACAGCACTTTAACACTGTGAAGGCCTCCTACCTCTTTTTAAAAAATAAACTGGCCATATAATACAGGTGTTTACAGACATCAACTTCTCTTTGCTTCATAGAACTTACACTATGATTATAACAGGCTAAAGAATTCAGAACCAAAAAAAAAAATGCATTCAACACACATCAATATTTAAAATACTATCAATATCAGCATTAGTTTCAATACAGATATGAGACTCATGAACACATAACTTCTACTTTAGAGAATAACAGAACTGACTTTCATCACCAGTTCTGTACAATATAAGAATATGGTAATTTTACTATTACAATTCTAGTTATGTTCTCAACAAATTTCTACCTCACTTTATATCATAAAATAAGACACTCGCTTGTAGAGGGAACACTAATTATGAAGTTTATTAGAGGGTTTACTTTGAATAAATAAATAAATAAATAAATAAAACTATCAAACTACAGTATTTTCACATGAACGAAAGATTCCTTAACACTCAAAATTGTACAAAATAATGAAGATGCATCCATCTGCAACACAAAGAGGACAGATGTCTTAGGATCTCTGATCCTCTGAACTGCAGCTACTTTAAAGATTATTATCTTCTGGTATGTGACACCATGTACCAATGTTTCTGAGAAACCTGTTGCCTCCATCCCCTTAAATGTTGGTTGGCACTGTAATTTCACTATTCACCACTGTGTGAACCTTACAGCTGTACCTTCTATTACTTTTATAAAAAGAGAGTTCCAAAGTCAGATATGTATTTTCACTTAAGACTTTTTAATCTGGTTCATATTATAGAAACTCCTAGCATCATTCTGTAGTACTCCAAAGCATAATTTATAATGAAAAAATACCACAAATAGCTTTAAATGCTGACACATGATGTGATACATCATCTCCACTGTTCTCACACACCAAATGATTCCAGATCTGAATGTCCAGTACCCCTAAATGAGATATCTTGTGTGTAATGCAGAAAGCTTAACTTCCATCAGGAGCAATGGTCCTCTTGTGAGCACTTTTGTCTACAATAAGGCCAGCTTAGTCACTTAGGCACTTCTTGAACCACTAGTGACCTCTCTGTTTATTCATGTGAAAATGTCAATACATCTGAGCATAAAGCAAACTCCAAAATCTGAACTTTGTGATACTACCTATTAATTCCACAAAATAAGGTATCAATCATGGAGGAAACAGGAAAACACGCCATAATCGACTAGCACATCTGTTCTTCCACGTTTCTCTTTACATCAAACAAGTTTCCTGTACGTGCAGGTGCACATGCATATGGGTGTGGGTTATATAGGGTTCATTCACTATGCAGCAAGTATTTTTTTATTTCTAAAAAGAATAAATCTGATCTCACATAGGAATTACTTATTCATATCTAACCCAGCTGAAAACTTCCACCAGTTGCATGAAAATTCAAGATGCTTGGATACTAAATAACTGGGAGTTTACTGTAATAATACTTTTCCAAAAACTCTCACGTACAGGTGTCCCCACCCTTTACAGAGCATTTTATTTAAATTAAAATCAGGGCTCATTCTAAAACATACATATTCTGATCATAAAAATGAACAGAGCAATTTATTTAAAGAGCTAATTATGCAGAATATTCTATTTTTGTAATATTAACCAAATGTATTTAAGAGTCCATAGATATCCCTTTCAAATATAAGAATGTCCCTTAAAAACTGGATAGCTAGCTGTTTATTCCTATTTTCATGGAAGACTGACAATAATGCACACCCCAGTCATAAACACACTGGCTATAAATATTTAATACTTACTACACACAGCATACATAAAGCAATTAAACTGTCTGGTTGTTATATTTACCAAAATGAAAGGAACTTCCTGAAAACCAAATTCTGCATTTCTTTAAATATACAAATAATAATATTTACAAGAGATCTGAGGTTCTCAGAATGGTGAACACTGAAATTATGGTATTCTGAATGTGATGCTGCATAGCCTGGTAGATTGCGGAGTCAATGTTTTGGAAGAACTCAGATCGATGCAGCAGATTCCTCTAAAACCTCGGTCTTCCTACCATACAACAAGGTGTCACACAGCAGAAGACCATAATCTTAAATCATTTCTCCATTTCCAGAAAAAGTCCTGATGAAACTTTCAATGCACAGCATGGCACAAACATGAAATATCAGTGAACCTAAATTCATGAATGGTACATTAAGTCATGCTAAAAATAAACACTTCCTTTGCTCCACATTACTCCATTTTTCATACCATATTAACTGTACTAATTCTGCATCTGTAACATTTCTCATTCCATGCATAGCAATAATAAATAAATTTGAATGTTGAAACAAATACAGTAATATAATCACACCTGTGAACCAACATTACAATAAACTCGAACTTGATTGGAACACATTCAGGTATAAACAAGTGCCATCATCTCTGTTCTCTATAGGACTTCTCCCCACTGCCTCAGTAAATACTCCAATAGAGCTTCTGCCTGCTTTTCTTAGTGGTATTTATATTTTTGCCCAATAAAGTAATATCATCAGCACAGCAGAAGGCAACATATTCTTCACATAACACAAATACTATCAAAACCCTGATACATTTCAGTCTTAAATGACGAATACTTTCAGTTCTTGAGAGCCATACAATTATACTGCACTATATCGCCATACTGATACACTGAAAAATGAGCACAAGGCAGCAGTACACAATACAGTATCATGCATCAATCATCAAGAAAGCTGCATTTAACAAGAATTCATATCAATAGACTTTAATATAATATTAAGTGTTAACCTTTCACAAAAATTTTTTTATGAATTAAACATTTTATTTCTTTTATTCACACACACATATTTTATAAAGTTTCCTTTAATGTTACACACCCCTCCTGAGGGTCATTTATGGCCAAAACATGTTACGGTTTTAATAATACTTAATCAGTGTAAAGAAACAAATTACTGTAGATGCATTCAGATATTGATATTGTATCTTATTTTAACATAAAATGTATTGTGACATGTTGCGCAAAGCCGAGGCCCCCCCCCC